GCAGTTTAATTATATTCAGATGCTATGGTGATATTTGGCAGTAGAAATACCTTGGTTAACTTATATTTAGAGATTAGGTTAGACTAAAATAGACAGATGGGAGACGGGGAGGGAAAGAGACTGATAAAATGCAACTAAAGTTCTAGCTCAGACCTTTAATTAATTAGCCTGGAAAAGAAACTGTAGTAGAACAGATTGAAAGATCTAAGAAGCATGGTGACCTCTGAAGTAGTTAATCTTTGCAGTTAGATTAGACCTCACGGTTATTCAAAGATTCTTGGAATCCTCTTTCCCTGTTTTCCTGGGTTGCTCATTTAGGTGCTATAGGCTCTTTTAACACACAGCAACACGACATTCCTGAAACGACAAAAAATCATAGGCAATTACACTGCACACAGTAGTTAATTCCTTATAAATCTTTCACTAAGAAGGCAAACCTAATGAAATTGTACACACAAGCGATGCCTTTAATCGAAACATGTTGGGTCATGTGCTTTCTTCCACAACAACATACAGGGAAAGCAAAACATTCAGGAAAGCAAAAATGTGCCAGAGGAAGAGGAGTGTAAAAGCAGTAATTTTCTCCAAACACTCCTTCCTGATCAAGCACCACGGCCTTCCACGGGTGGGTAGGGAAGAAGAGGAAAACCTTGGGGTCTCCAAAACATCGTTCTCTTAAGACTGAAGGCAGAGTTCTAATTGCAACCCAGCAGTAATTCTCATTCACAGCCTCTGTCACGAGGGACTGGAACATGCTCCCCGAGGGAAAAAGAAATCCCTGGGAGGAGGGAAGAGGCTCCCGCTTCCTTGCCAAGGTCCAACCATCTGCACAGTTTCACGGTGTGAAGGAACACTTATCCCTTCTCCTGCCTCTGACAGGAAACATTTTAGGTTAAAACTTGCAGAATTTCTTTGTTGCAGAAAATGTGGCATGAGGTTTTGAACCTTTTGATGATGACATGCGATTGTTTTTACCACTAATCTGATCCAACTTCGAATAAGAGGTTTCTCAACAGCGAACACAGTTCTGTGACGTCTGCCATCTAAAACCTTTTCTAAACCTCTCAATTTTACTCTCGATAGCTCAGCAAAAAGCCCAGGAAGAAATAATGCTTGCTGGGGAGCAATGTGCAGCCCAATCTCTTGAGTTTCCACGGGTTTAGAGTCAGTGTTACACCCTGGAGGTAGCACTGGACAGTATTGCAGACAGGACTTGCCAGTGAAGCTGCCTGCGAGATGAGATAAAACTGAGGACCTGACCACTTTGTGAGCGGTATGGATCCCCCGGGACTTTTTGCAATAATGAAGGTGTTGGCTCTGAAGCCCATATTTGTCCAGCTACAGGAAAGCGTGAAGGAGAAAAGCCAAACCTGCTAGAGGAACATTCATCAGTATTGGTGCAACATTTGCAAGGCATTTAAACAGTATGTTGTGAAGGGCAACCAAGAATCCTACATGAATTAGGCTGTCATTCCAACTCAGGTAATTAGTTTCTATATACCCACCTTCCAAAATCCCCTGGAAATCACCCTGTAACCTGGCAGGTGGTTATTCAAGTAGAATTACTAGAAAATAAGAGAGAAGAATGGTTACAAGTGATTCTCCCACAGAACCTATTGTGTTAGTTGTCATAAAGGCAGACACAAATTTGAAGCCTCTTCACTACAGAGCCTGTAACTTAGAAAGAAATACAAATGTCTAGAGAGGGTGAAACAATGTATACATTCATTAAATATATTTGCAATTAAAATAGTAAATGCAATGACAATTATTTCCAACTGCTTTTAACTTTGTTCTTGATAATTACACATCTATGTACATTTAAGGAAAATAATGTACTGCAAAGTGACACTACAATTATTTAATTTAATTTAATAATTTAATTACAGCGGGACACAGTCTCGGAGTGAAATTACACTAAAACCTAGACCAACACAGATATGAACCTCAGCCTGAAAAGCTTAAACAGAGTTCTGGAGCACAGCAAATCTACCTTTATTTTTTTGTTTCTTTGTTTCAGATTGGTTAATTACAGCAGCACATGAGATTTATGAACAGTTTAAGAATACGGTAGAAACAGTCTGAAAGGACAGACAAAGCCTGGTTTCTTAATTGATGTAATCTAATAAAAATGAGGCAGAATTATAGTCACTATACTTAGGAATGCTTTGGGGCAATTTTTTCAACAGGAGGACAGGTTTATAAATACAGGCTTTTTTACAAACTGCACTATCCCTAGATAAACAGGACACAGAGACATCCTGGGTGCATATGTTTGTTCAAGGATCGCCTGAACCCATCAGATTAGGACTTTCAGCAGCAGTAACCTGCCTTACTGGTTGAAGGGGAGCTGTCTCTAGTTACTCTTAGTCCTTTACGAGTGCGACAGCTGTTGTCTGGACCAACTCTGAGCAAGGAACAATTTCCAAAGCTAAAACCCCAAATCTTCACAGCTTGAGGACAGGACTTGGGCTTCGTAATTGATAGTTGTAATGACAATATGTGCTGATGAATGGATGTGAATCGAGACACAGAAGTTGACTAGTGACTCTACTAAAAACGTAACTAGCATTTTCATGACTACAAAAAGAAACAGGTTTTCTGAGTGGAATTGCTTTTGCAGAAGAAAAAGGCTCCCACACAATACAAACCTGCAATTTTCCTCATTCATCATCTTGTATTTTTGCATAAGATAATCCTTAAGGATAAGTCTAGATTAATTTAGGCAGGCAGATATCGCGGATGAGAGAGCTTCATCAACCATTCTGTAAAGCACAATGTTTTTATCAAGCACATAGATGTAGCTTCAAATAATATTTTCTGGATGACATCCATAGCGCTAGAAGCAGTAGCCCTGGCCAAAAGCTCCCATTTTCTTCCAGCAGAGCTTTCTGAGTTCCTCGTGTTTCCAACATATCCTGGTGGCTTTATTCCATTAAACAAGTTCTGCATTTTCTTCTCCAGCATCTGTAGGGTAATATGAAGAGCCCTCATCCACTGGCCATCTAACCTCCAGCGTGGCAGCTTTATTTAGGTTTCTACCTCACTATCTAGAGAAAAAAAGGACTGGTGCTGTAAAAAAACATTCTAGCGCTGTCAACCAAGTTACAGCATAATAAAGAAACATTTTAATTTTAAAACATTTTTTAAAGACATAGCATTATTTACTTTTTGTAAAAAAAAAAAAGTTATACTGGTTTTGAGAGTTTGTTCTCTCAGATCTCCACACCAATAACTGGTCAAGGCAACTCTGGAGTGTCTCTGCTTCTTCTCTTGTTCACAAAATCAATGAAAGATAAACGTAGAAGATGAATGCTGATACCCCCAGCTGTCAGTCCAACATTGCATATTGGTACCATAAAAGCTTCTCTGGCTACCCTGCTTTTGCAAAACCAGATCTTCGGTTGTAGTTCCCAAACAAAGATCGATTCCTGCATCCTAATGACTTAAACTAACGCTTACAGCAAGGACTTCATCCACTGCACATTTTAATCTAGGAAATATACTACCTCAAGTTAAACGTTTTAATGCTTCTTTATTTGGGAAACACAAAATGAGGATTTAGCAGACCTCACATCTGTATTCTAAAATTCAGAATGACTTCTAAAAGGGAAATATTTAAGGAAAATAACAAAGTTACATAATTTGGTGTGCCAGTACCGTGCTATTCTTGCTCCCCCGTGGCATGTTAGAAGACAAGAAGGAAGAAACCTGACGGACTTCCACAAGAGGCTCACAATTTGCTCACCCCCAGCTGTTCAGATGCTATTGACTAATGCTTAGTGGCCAACTGTGACGATCTTTTTAATTCCATTAAGGCATACTTTTGTTCCCAATGACATCGTAAGCAACAACCCAATAGAGTGATAAAAAATAATCATAGCTTGTGTGTCATTGCATGTCAAGAACATTCTGAACTGCAGTTATTGTGCTGGAATGATAGATCTTGCAACTGTTAAAAGAAATAGCAGCGCACTATTGATTTTAAAGTATTATGCATTGAATGTCACTGATGCATTGGGCAGACAGAAGATAATGTCACTCACTCGGAGAATTTCCAAATAAAGTTAGAAATAGACAGTACAATGCAGATGTATGAGACACAAGAAAAGACATAAAGGATGCAAACTCCAAATAGTGGAAATGCGTTCCTTTTAATAAATCCAAACCAACAGTTTAGATCTGACTTCTACAGCTTGAGGGTCAAAACCTAAATCCCAGTCAGCAAACTACCACTGGTCTGTCTCTGAGATGTGATGGGGAGCTGGAAGATCCAGCTCGGATTTGACAATCTGAGTGCCCCTTGACTTTTAATATGTCGTTTCCCTCAATTTATGTTGTCGTGCCATGTTGCACCGTTTCTGTATTTTGCTATCTACGTGAGGTCCAGCTCGGGAAGGCGGCCAGCGCATCTAGCGAGCTACCACACACCACCAACCCCTCAGCCTCCACTGACCCGAGGTGGAGGCGCCCAACGCTTTGCTCCACCACGACCTGAGCCCCCAGCTCGGTGGGACAAGGACGGCCGCCTCTCCCAGGGCCAGCGCTTCGCCGAGGCCCCTCCCGATGCTCCGGGAGGACGACGCGCCGCTCGTAAGCCCTTCATAAGCATCTCTCAACTGTCACCCGGGGAAAAGCGGGTATGCTTTTGCCAAGCCACTTCAGCCGGCTGGTAGCCGGCTGCCGCCGGTGGGCCAAGCGCTGGGCTGGCGGGAAGCTCCTCCCTAGGGGTGTAGCACAGGAAGAGGTGGAGGTCGGGGGAGCCGCGGAGCTCCCTGCGAGCCTGTGGAGTTACCGTTACCCATTTTACTATGTGTGTGTCTTATATTACAGCCATGCTGCACATCAGTGGCCAGAGCGAGGGGAGAGGGGAGGAAAAGCCTGTTTACACAGACTGCAAACCGCCTGGGGAATAATGCAGGAAAGGAAGTGAGCCGGCTCTCTGTCTGACTGCTCTGACTTCCTGCTCGCTCTCTCACACAGGCACACGCGCGCACACACACACACACACACACACACATACACACACCCCGGCCCAAAAAAAAGAAAAAAAAAAGGGGGGGGAAAAATCAGGATCTCATTACAAGAGCAACAGAGTGTTTGCAGAAGACTGTCAGCATGGAGAACCAGGGGATTTTACCCAGCTCCCTCTCAACTACCAGGTGAGCGCGGAAAAAGTCCCTCAGGCTCTGGGTAGGTACAAGTGCTGCTGCGCCTGACCCGACTCCTGCAAAGTTTCGGGGGGCTTCGGGGAGGGGAAGGGGAAGCCGGCGGCTGCTGC